ACGATGCAAAAAGGGCAAAGGCAATTTTCTCTTGGGGAAGAAGGGATCAGGAAAGCTGATTAAACAAACACTCTCAAATTTACACAGAAGTTAGGAGAGGAGATACCACCATCTTGGAGGTCTGCTTTTATCTCACTTATACCAAAGGAGGATCAAGATTTGTCGCAGCCTAAAAATTATAGACCAATATCCTTATTGAATACGGATTATAAGATTTTTGCAAAAATTTTGGCTAATAGATTGATGCACGTATTACAAAAGATTATACATATGGATCAATCTGGATTTATAAGTGGTAGATATATGAAGAACAATGTTAGACAAATAGTAAATTTGTTGGAATATTTGGACAAAAATAATCAAATTCCGGCGGCNTATTATAGAACTTTGTCGGAGGAAATGTTAGAGCCTTTGAAGAGTCTTTTTAATGATATTTTATTAGGAGAGGAGATACCACCATCTTGGAGGTCTGCTTTTATCTCACTTATACCAAAGGAGGATCAAGATTTGTCGCAGCCTAAAAATTATAGACCAATATCCTTATTGAATACGGATTATAAGATTTTTGCAAAAAGTTTGGCTAATAGATTGATGCACGTATTACAAAAGATTATACATATGGATCAATCTGGATTTATAAGTGGTAGATATATGAAGAACAATGTTAGACAAATAGTAAATTTGTTGGAATATTTGGACAAAAATAATCAAATTCCGGCGGCTCTTATCTTTCTGGATGCTGAAAAGGTCTTTGATAAATTGGACTGGCGATTTTTGTTTGGTGTGGTTGACAAAATGAATTTTGGGGATAGATTTTTGTCCGCGTTGAAGGCTATTTATCAATTTCAATCAGCACAAGTTATTGTGAATGGAGGTTTGACAGATGCAATCAAAATTAAAAAAGGCATGAGACAAGGATGCCCTTTATCACCTTTGTTGTTTATTTTGACTTTGGAGATTTTATTAATTAAGGTTCATGAAACATCAACTATAAGAGGAATAACTTTGGGTAAGAATGACTATAAACTTAGAGCTTTTGCTGATGACTTGGTTTTTACATTATCTCAACCGATTGACTCAACAAGAAACTTGATACAGTTACTGAATGAGTATGGAAGAGTTTCAGGATTTCGAGTAAATGTTAATAAGACCAAAATATTGTCTAAAAACATGGTTATGAAGGATAAAGAGATTTTAACTAATTTAACTGGTTTTGAAATTGTGAAGAAGGTGAAATATTTGGGTATTTACCTTGCTGCCTCTAATGTTAAATTGTATAAAAATAATTATGAAAAGTTGTGGACAACAATTCAAAAGGATTTAGAAATGTGGAAAAAGTTGCAGTTGTCATTAATGGGGAGAATTTCTGTGGTTAAAATGAATGTTCTTCCAAAATTTCTTTTTCTGTTTCAGATGATACCAATTTTAAAAAAAGACTCTAATTTAGAAGTTTGGCAAAGAGGGATTAACAGTTTTATATGGTTAGGAAAAAAGCCGAGGGTAAAATTTAAAATCTTGCAAGATGCACGTGAAAGAGGGGGACTTAAGGCTCCAAATTTAAAATTG